AGTACGTGCTTGAGGTAGTATAAACGTCTGCTTCCCAGGATACAACGGAGAAACCAGTAATATCCGAGCACAGCAGATTCTACTCCGGCGAACTGAACAAGCGTCTGAAAAATATCACCACAAACTCAAACAGAAACGGAAAATGCAGAAAAACAGAAACTGTATACAGATGAATTTGCAAATGAAAATTTGTGTCCTGAACTGTGGAAAATCGAGACACATATAAAGACTGGCTTGTAACCTGCTCCTTCAATTCATAGCAATTACAACAGTATTGTAAAAATCGAGACACATATAAAGACTGGAAAACCGATATTGTCAACCAATATTGTACATGTACCATGATTCTTCTTATTTTGATCATGGTCCTCGATATAGAAGAAAGAGTTCGGGCATATATTACCTGATATGGGACTATAGAAATATATTTAATTATCAAAAAAGAGGATTTGATTGCGTTTAGAGGAGTCAAGGCATTTAGGCCATTGAGGAAAGGTATGATAATAAGTGAACAAAAATGAAATTTTAGAAAAAACATCTTTTAGATCTCTCCCCATTTTTTGTCATCCACACAGGAAAAAGCTCTTATTCTTCCACAAAATCATTTCCTTTAAAAAGCATTATTTTAGAAGAATTAACATTTTTGTCAATTTGTATGACAAAATCAATTTATTAGCTGACTTTTTTTTTTCATTTTTAACCACAATACCCCATCCTCATATATTAAAAAAAATTGCTAAAAAAATAAGATATTCACCAATCCCTTTCATCTAATCGGCAAAATATGGTTCGTTAAGTCGACTAATAATTATTTTTGTTAGTAAATATTATTTTTAGTGACTAATTTTTGGTGCATCAAAAAAAAACGGAGGGTAAAAACGATTTTCATTGACTATTTCTATGGGTCGGGACAAATGTGGCCGGTAAAGACATAGCCAGCTAATTATTTTGGTTGGTAGGGAAAATCTGGCTGAAAAACCAATGGTTTCATGTAGTGTCCTTTCATTACTTTTGAAAGAGAAAGGTAGAATATTGGGTAAAACAAAACTGAAAGTTGAATGACTAATTAAGAACAAAAAAAAGGTTCAATTTCTATTAACAAATATTAAAAATATTTAAGTTATTTATCATTTTCTCATTAGAAGGGAACTGCTATTTACATTCATGGAATTTATGAATATATTCGCTTTAGAAAAATTATTATATTTTTAATCTTATGTAGATTTACTTAAATAGATGTATATAAAATTAAGTAAAAATATGTCAATCTAAATTCATTCACTACTATTTATTTTTAATAAATTCTTTTGAAAAAAAAAATTGTTGGGTTCCTTAAATTTTTCCCTTAACACCTTATTGAATCTCTGTTCAAGTTTGCCTGTAAATCGAAGGATAAATTTTTCCGGAGTTTTGAATTAAAAATTAAATATTTCTTCTTACAATTAAACCAAAAGTCTAACATCATTGACTCACAACTAATTTGAGTTTAAGAATGTTTGCCGCAAATTAGAATATATTTATAAGCTCACCTAGGTACATTCATTTCTTAATTACAAAGAATCCTTGCAAAGTTTTAATATCCTCGAATTTTTTAAAGGAATTTCTTATTATAATTGGGAAATTTTAGTAAATTGTAAGATGGAAAATATAATTATCGTCGTAGAAAATGAAAATTAGAAAATTTAATAAGGGATAACAATAACAAATAGGACACTGGGTGGCTTAATTTGTAAGGTAAACCTAGGCATAAGTAAGTAAGCTGCTCAGCTATACAAGCAATTTCCCCGTCAATTCGTTTAAAAATTACGTATCATTATTTTTGGTATGTTCTCATCCTTTCTCGAAAGCTGGTTCACAAATTTGTTTTGTTATGCTTGTC